GTCCCGTGTGGAGATGCAGGGTATCAATCGCGGTGTGGCCCCCATACCGAACCGGGGACGGGCAACGGGATTGCAACCCTCGGTGTTGCTCCCGCGCCTCGCTCAGCCGGTGAGCTGGAACCGGTCTGTATGTGGGATCCGAACCCTCAGGCGGGAGCGCCGCCGCGCTTCCCAAGCGGCACACTTATCCAGTGCGCCACCGGGCCGGCCCCGGAGCGCTAGTCTTGACTGCAGAAAACAACACAAGAGTGAATCAGGATCATTTACAAGTTATTTCCTTGTCTCTGGCCATCTGGATGTCTCATAAGATTGTCTGGAACTGCATTAGGGTTTTTTCTTTGTTTTTTTATTTTGCTTGGATGAAGGATGTTCTTTGGCCACATGCACATCAGGGATATTTGGGTGACATGAGGAGCGCTAAGGTTATTAGAGTTTATTAGTCAGATATAGATCTGGCTAATGCTCAGGGTAGGATGCAGCTATATGAGAGGTTTTGCTGTTTCTGTTCATCCCAGAAAAAACAAAGAGTGACTACAAATGCCTGAATTAACTCAGCAAAACATAGCAAAGGTCCTTAAGGTGTGTTGTTTCAAATGCTCCTAAATCCTGTTTAAATTCACATTTCCGCAGGCCCCAGTCTCCTGGGAGCCTTTTGCACATGCACAGAGAACAGCCTTAGTAATGAGATCTGCTGCTTCTGGGATCAGTGGAGAGGTAAGGGTGACTTGCAGGGACAAATTCTGTTCTGAGAAGCTACATTTCTTCTCATATTTGTGGGAGGAGGTGGAGTTGACCATATGTGCTCTGCCTTAATAAAGCATGGGAGGTGGGATGAGACATGCAGGAGACAGCAGACAGGAACCCTGGGAGGAAGGGCCAGCACCTTCCCACCTAGCCGCACGGGAAGTCAGCACATCACTGGCCCACACCTACTCCTGCAGCTTGCTTGGACCTCACTTCATCCCCTAGACTGTTGCTCCTCCCCACAGCCACAGCGGGCAGACTTTTTGTGGGATCATCCCAGATTCCAGTCATATCACTCTGGGGGTTAGGCCAGGAGCCTGATGAAGAGAGGGAGGCATTCAGATTTGGCATTCCTCCAGAAGATGCCCCTTGTGGATTTTTAAGCCACAGAGGTTATGATGCTAACACTTACTCAGCTTGTGATTCACCATGACCCTTGGACTTTTTTCCCCCATTGATCTCATGCTTGGCCATATTCAGCACCTGGTTTCTCTTCTCCAGGGGTATTGGTCCCAGGGGCTCTTCATCCAGTCTAAATCTCAGCCTGTCCTTCTATATAGAACAGTGATCCCCCGTGCCCAGAGGGTGTAGCTCACCACTATCTTCAGCCACCCCTCCCCTTTACAATATTAAATGGATATCTCTTTTTTCCCTGCATCTTGTGGGAAATGTCTGCTCTCCTTGGCCCATCCTCTGTAACTGCTTAGGGGAAGGTTTCAGAGGAGACTCTGGCTTGCCCTGGAAAAAGGTGGGCTTGCCTGCCCATTGCCTAAGTACCAGGCTGAGAGTCCCCTCTCCTCTCTGCACTACCACTCTGGTGGCATGTGACAGAAGGCTTTTTCTTCCCCCCTCCGCAAACACAGCGCATTTCCTTCCTAAAGCAGAAGCGTCTCAGCTGCCTCCCCACACCCCAACCAGAAGACCAAGGAGTCCTCAGTGGACTCCCTGCTCAGGACGTTCCACTCTAGCCACAGAGGTTTCTGTCCCATGCGTATCTCCCCTGCAGCATGGCAGCCCTGCCTTTCTGATTCTCCTGGCCCTCTGGGGCCTCACTGTTCTTTTCTTCTAAAAGCTCTAATGCCCGACTACAGAAACACCAAACACACCTGTTGGAGAAACACACAGCCAAGCGTCCACCTCAGAAGCCGACCCTTAGCAACCAGTGAGCACAAAGCTGTGGTTTCACCTTTACAGGGTCTAACTGAGAAGAAATACACCAGTCTCTCCAGGACAAGAAGAACGCCTCCTCCACCCATTTTTTTTATTTTCTACCCCTTCAAACCTAAAAGCAGACACTTAATAAAGAGCCTCAGGTTGGGACAGGGCTTAAGAGAGAAGAAAGTCTAATCTCTGCTCCCTTAATTGAGTAATATTTTGTGAACGTCTTGTACTCTGATAAGTATATTTCTTTATTCCAAAAAATACTGGGAACAAAATCTGGTTTGGATTTGGAATGTTTGACAAACTTGCAAGCTGGTCTCCATTTCCTCAGGTTTCAGTAATCTAGACTTCAGTGGAAAGAACATTTTTCTTGAGAAAGGAGATCACTGTTCCCACTCTGGCAACTTTTGCCTGGGTTCAAGGCACCACCAGTTAACATATGAAACCATCAAACTGCCAAGCTGAGGCAAAAGAGTCACAGAGCTGAGAGAGACTTTAGCCATGGTCTGGCCAAGCCATCAAACTTCTTTTAGCTACAGAACCCGTTGTTCAAACAGAATGTTACTCAGAGATCCAGTGCATAGCAGAGATCAAAGGCAAGCTGCTCTGTTCAAACTGGGGCAGAGGAGCCAGAAGCCCAGCCGCTCAGCTCTGCCCAGCTGCCTAGGAAGTCCCTGAGCGCATCCGTGGAGCAGTTTGAAAATCTTTAATGCAGACCAGCCCCTCCTTGCCAGCCCTGCCTGGCTCTGCGCTTCTGTGGTCCAGCTCCTGGGGCATGCGTCCTCTTGGGAGTTCAGCCTATTGCTCGAGAACCAAGGCTGCCCCGGCCCATATGGAGTCCCATTCCAACATCCGGGCTTCCTCCTCCATTGCAGGCCTCACTAATGAAGACACATGACCCTGCACACACTCTGCTGGCAGGGTGGGATCATCTCCAGGTGCAAACGTCAGAAACTGCCCTGTCCGCCCTTTCCCCTGTTTTTCTTGATTCCCACAAGAAGCCCAGAATTCCCAGGCCATCACTCATCACCCAGACTTTCTTTCCCACAGGGTTCTGGGCATCCTGTGATCTAACCTTTTCTCGCTTGCCACTCCCACACCCCACTTTCCACCATGCCGTTTCCCACAGTCCATCATCTGCTGAGGGTCAGCAAACATTTTCTGTAAAGGGCCGGAGGCTAATGTTCACCTTTGTGGGCCATACAGCCTCTGTTCCAACTATTCAACTCTGCCAGGAAAACAGCAATATGTAAATGAGTGGGTGTAACTGAATACCAATAAAACTTTATTTACAAAACAGGTGGCCCAGCTCCTACCCTAAATCCTCAGCTTCACTTTCTGGCCCCTCCCCCGAGGGCGCTGTTTCCCACTCGGCCTCTCAGGAGGCAGTACTTTCTCTCCCAGATGCTCCTCCCACTGGGCCCAGAGGTCAGGAGGGAGCCCTGCTTTCTCCTTCTTTCTGCTTTCAGACCACTGCCTCCCTCGAAGCCCCCAGGTTTGATGTGCATGCCTTCTGCAGTCCTTGGCAGGCCTTTGAGCCCCTCCTCCTTGAGACATTAGTGCTTGACTCCCTCCAGCTCCAGCACTCACTACTCCTGCTGTCCTCCCACCAGTGGCTTCTTGGTTCCCTGATTCCTCCTCCTCCAGGGGTCCTGACCTCCATCCTGTCTCAACTGCCCACTCCCATGGTTGTAGCCAGTATCCCTGTCATAACTCATAACTACACCCTCCCCCATAATCCCAAACCAAATGTCTTACTCCCTAACCAACCCCACCCATCTTTCCAGCGTACTCCCTTTTGCACATCGACTATGACAACTTCTTCATCCCCCACGTTCTCTCTATTCCCTCCCACCGTGTCCTCTCCTCCTCCCGACCAGCTTAGATGCCGCCATGCTCACAATCTCTCACCTGCATCCATGTCTTCATTTATCTTGCTCACCTGGAAAAACACCAACCCTAATCAAATCCAGCTAGATGGAGATCTGTTTGGTTCCTGAAAGGGGTGGACAAGCCAAGTCTTACTCCGCACTCATGACCACCAGCGTCAAGGAGGCCTGGAGACACTACTGTGCACCGCTACTCCGTCCACCCTGAACTTCCTTAGATGGCTTGCTCACATCTTTGCCTCTCTTCTCAGACCTCCAGCACCACTTCCCCTTGCACATTCTCAGCTGAAGACCTCACGACCTGTGTCCCTGAGAAAACAGATGAAGTCAGAAGAGGGCTTTCGTGTGTTCCCACAGCCACGTCTGTCACTTGTAATGTGCATTCCGGCCTGAGCCATGAGGAACTGCCTCTGCCCCTGTCGAAGGCCAGCACCCCAGCGTGCACTAGATCCCCTTCTGGGCTACTGAGGGGTATCAGCTGTCCAGTAATTGTTCCCTCTCACTTCTGCATCGTGAAGTTGTCTGTCTCTGTTAGATAATCCCCACCATGTATAAAAATGCTGTAGTATCTCCTGTTTAAAAACAAAGCTCTCTTGACTCCACACCCACTTCTGGTAACCACTGTTTTTTCTCTGCTCACTTTTATAGCAGAATTCCTCAAGAGTTGTATATATGGTCGCCACTAGCCACTGTGCCACTCACCACTTGAAATGTGGCAAATCTGAACTGAGATGTGCTGTAAGTGTAAAATATACAGTGTATTTCAAAGATTTAGTACAAAACAAAGAATGACACATGCCTCAATAATTTTTTATATTTACTACATGTTGAAATGACAATATTCTATGTCGAATTATATAAAATATATATTATCACAGTTAATTTCACCTATTTTATTTCCTTCTTTACGTTTTTAATGTGGCTACTAGAAAAGTTAAATTATGTTTGTGGCTTGAACGATATTTCTGTTGAATAGGGCCTTCTATTCTCACTGTCCCCAACCTCTCCTCCCATTCTCTCCTGAACCTGTATCTATTAGGCTTTTGTCCCCATCACTCCATCAAAACAGATGCTTTCAAGGCCTCAGTGGTCTTCATGTTGCTAAGTCCAGCAGTCAGTTTCCTGTCTGTGCATCTGCAGCACTTGACCACTTCCTTCTCCCTGACAACCTTCTTCATGGGGCCCCATTCTCCCTGCTTCTCCTCCTGCCCACAAGCTACCCCTCACCAATCTCTTGTGGGTGTCTCCTCCCTCTGACCCCCAATGTGGGAGACCCCAGGTCTTGGTCCTTTCACGTGTTCACCTTCTACATCTGCCTCCTAGGTGATCTCATATGATTTGACTTTAAATACAGTCTATACAACTACCAAATTTTTGTCTGTAACCTAGACTTGCCCCCTGACCTCCAGACACAATAGAGCCAACTCAAGGTATCCATTCAGATGTGCAATCAATAACTTAAATCTCAAAAAGTTCATAGTAGAGACCTTGATATCCATTCCACCACATCTGATCCTGCTGGTTGCTCAAGCCCAAACTGTTGGGATCATCTTTTATTTCTCCTTCACACCCCACATCTAGTCCATCACCAACCCCATCAGCTCTATCTTACAATAAATCCAATATCTGACTCTTCCTCACTACGTCTAACACCACACCCTGCTCTAAGCCTCCAGCATTTCCCTCTACCCCAATCACTGCATATCCTTTCCCTGGCCTTGCCCCACTGCAGACTGTTCTCCCACCATGTCAGAGAAAAGACCAAGCACCCAGTAGGGCACCCTTCTTCCTCCCTGACTGTGTCTCCCACTGCTCTCCCCTTTACCTGCACTGCTGCAGCCACATGGCGGTTTGTTGCCCCTCTAGCACACAACTGTGCTCCCCTCTCAGGCCCCTTGCATCAGCTGTTTCCTCTGCCTGCAGCAGTCTCCCCAGATAGATACGTGGGTTACTCCTTTACTTTCTTTAGGTCTCTGCTCAAATGTCACCTAAGGAAAGTTGCTTTCCAAGCCTCCTTATGTAGAAAGAAAGACCTCCTGTCCTTGTCACTGCAGATCTCCTTCCCCACGCATTCTTCTTCCTAGCACTCTAACTGTGAGATACCTGTTTGCTGATTGTTCAGTTTATTGTCTGTCTCTCCCACTAGAATGTAAATTCCATGAGGGTAAGGACTTTGTCAATTTTGCTGTCGTCCCAGTGTCTAGAACAGCACCTGGCCCGTAGTAGCTATTCACGTTTGTTGGAGGAACAAGCATACCAGCCCAGACACAAGGTGGCAGAGCTGAAATTGCATGTTGCAGTTACACGCCTTAATGTGTGGGTTTTGCTCCCACTTGAAATTTTTTTATTTAACCATTCAGTCATTCATTCATTTGTTCAACATATATCTCCTGAGCAGCTATTATGTGCCAGCACAAAGTAGATTCTATGGGATCATTTCTTTGTGCCCAGAAAGAAATCAAAGAGCCGGCTTGTTAGGAGGAAGGGGGTGGGCAGGGAGAAAGTGTGTGGTTCCTGGCACCCGTGGGAGGGGAGCTAGGCTACCATGGAGGGGGCAGAGGGCACAGCAGAGACAGGGGCACTGACAGCAGACAATCTGCTTTATGCTTTCGTCAGGACCCACCCAGCTCACACAAAGCCAGCTGTGTTCTCACGCCTTTATGACAGCAAAGGTCCTGCCCCTCACCTTGCTCAGACCTCTCTGGGCTGTGCTTATACTCTTGGCATGGGAGGTACCCACATGAGGGAATGTCACTTTACAGTCCCCTGCAGCGCCCGCTCCTGGACTGGAGACGCCTGCAGACTCTGTCATTCCAGGCTTCCTTCAGCAATCAGAGCCCTGGCTTGGCAAAGAAATGGTCCTGATAGCTTTTTCTCTCTTACCTCTCTTCTAGGCTCTTTAGTGCAATTTTAGAACAAGCAACCAAAGCAGACGGGGCAAATGCTCTAGGAGGAAAAGGGGCTGGATTTGATGTGAAGGCGCTGAGGGCTTTCCGCGTGCTGCGTCCCTTGCGGCTAGTGTCCGGAGTCCCAAGTAAGTGAGACCATTATTCTTGTTTACAATGTTATCTTGTCACCACCTTCTGCTTTCCTTTGCTGAATTGCCAAGAGCACTTTGCAAATGAACTCAATTTCATATAAATGGAGGATTAAAAAAAATGATTTCCTTTGATGTAAAGAACCCAACTCTGATGTAAGTACATTAAACACACTGTGGTCCCAGCTTCTGGAAACACCTAGCAAAAGTTCACAACAACCACATTGCCAAATGAAAACAGCCTGCACAAAGAAAACAATCCCCTGGCCATTTGAGCGATCCCCCAAAGGCCCTGGGTTAGGAATTGAAATACATTTGCAGCAGAAGAGCTGGTGAGAGAGCTGGCTAATCCCCAAGGCTTACAGAGTGTCTTAGGCAATGAAATTATCTCTGCTTTCTGTATTTTTCTAAAGAACAGTCAGGAACACATCAGCGGATGTTCCAAAAGTTCTATTTTTCCATTTCTTCCAGTCCTTTTCTTCTTTAATGTCAAATGGGGCATCCCAGAACTCAGGAGCCTTATTTATGGACAGCATGCCTGTTATTGTAGTAACTGGTTTTTCCCAAGGAGGGGAAGGTACTCAGCTCTCTGAATCAGGTGAGGGGCTCTAGAGATATATTGTCCATCAAGGTATCAGTCACATAGGCAACTCCCCTTCCACCAGTCATCCAGAAACCTGTCCCATTAGGGATGTGCCCCAGGCACTGAACATCGCAGCTACAGACACCCTGCATAAGCTCCAGTAAAGCCCATCCCAGGTTGCTCCCGGGGCGGGGGGTGGGGGACTAAGTCAGTTTGGGAGAACTCTTCCTGCTCTTCCTTGTCCAATTTATGTTATCTGAGAATAATTCTGGACTTGATTGCTGAGATTTTACACTCTCAGGTCAGATCCATCAAATTTCTGAGCTGTCCCATGACTCAAACATAGGAGACACCTAACACTGGGCTGGAAGCAGACTAGCTTGGAGATGGGGGTGAGGGACAGGAAAACAGGTCCTCTGAGCACACAGCCTTTACTGCCCATACCGTGCACTGAGTCCTTGGCTTCATTTATGCTGCTTGGATATCTCTTAGAGTCACAAAACCATAGAAAAGAGAGGGGCCTTATATTAACCTGTTCATTCCTTTTTGTGCATACACAGGGTATAGTGAAAAGATCCTCCCAAGACTTTAACTAGCAGCAGAGCCAGGACTAGAACCAGGTTTCCTGACTTCCAGACCAACTCTCTTTTCTACCATACCACAGTACCTCTTTTAAAGAATTGAGTCATCTGTAACTCTTGATTGTCTTAGATTTTTACACATAAGTCCTGTCTCTTCAGTTACATTATGAGCCCCCTTGAAGCCCAGAACTGTGCCTTACATTATCTCTGATTCCTGTACAATATCTAGATTAGTCTCTAAATAAGGTAGGGGAATTTACTGAATAAATGAAAGCAGGGGTTTGTTCTCATTTATTTTTTTGCAGTAGTACTCCCTGAGCAAAGCTGTGGCTTGTCTTAAGTTGAAACAGAACACAGAGCTAAACCACACAAGCATGATTAAAGCAGACCTTCTCTTTTTGGCCTTAACCATTTGGGGGTACTTAGGAATAGAAACAATATATATTATGGCCAAGACCCGATTCCCCTTTTGTGAAGCCAAAATTATTTCTTGGTCAATCAGCCATAACTGAGTAGACCAAAATCAGGAAATGAGAAGGGAGGGTGAGAGAGACTTTTAACATGACTTTAGGGAGCTTATCGTGGTATTGCCAATGTGCCAGTGATCAGAACTATGAATTAATTCCAAACTTCAGCTAACAAAGCTACAATGGACATAATGAATCTTACCCTGTTATGTATGTACTTATTAGAGGCCCACATTTTTATTAGGGGTAATAGGGCATATCATAAAGAATAAACATCTAAGTTTAATTTGTATAAAGTTGAGAGAAAAAAAAAAAGAACAAACATGGTTCCTTTCACTTGAGGAATTTGACAGTCTAATTAAAGAATATATCAATCAGCTTTGCTGCAGGAACAAACAACCCCAAACTCTCAGTGACTTACAACTAGAAACATTTATACCTGGCTCATGGTACCTGAGGATGTTGGTCAGCTGAAGCTCTTCTGAACTCACCTGGGCTCTGGGTTTGACCAAGTTCTGTGTCATTTAATCCAGAGTCCAGGTCGAAAGAGTAGCCACCATGTAAGCCATGCTGTTCTCATGGCAGAGGGCAGATGCTTGCCAAAGGGGGCATAGAGGTAAACCACACAAGCAATTTAAGGCTTATGCTTAAATTTGGCTTATATCACAGCTGCTTATATTTCACTGGTCAAAGCAAGTGACCTCAAAGGCCAACCTCAAAGATACTGGGACAAAGAAGTATACTGTACCTACACAGAAGCATGGACAAATAATTGTGAATAAACAGTACAATCTACTGCAAAAAGATTGTTATCAGCAGAAATAGTTATAGTAATTACTCTAGTAAAGAGATTCTTAATTAGAGATGAATATGAATGAGAACCACTCATGCTTCAGTGCATTCAAAGGGAGAATTAGATTAGATAGAGTAGCCAGGGTTCCACTACAGAAAAAATTTCCTAAAGAAGAACTTTTATCTTGTCTCTGTTGTGGTTTGAATGTCCCCCCAAGCTCATGTTGGAGCTTAATCCCCAATATTGTATTTGAAAGGTGGAGGCTTTACATGGTAATTGGATGCCCTCATGAGTGGATTAACCAATTAAAGGATAAGTGGATTATCATGGGAGTGGTACTTGTGGCTTTATAAGGAGAGGAAGAAGCATGTTATCATTCTCTTGCTCAACCCTTGCTAAATAATACCCTACATCACCACAGGATTCTGTAGAGAGTCTCCACCAAGAGGAAGGCCTTCACCAGATGTGCCCTCTGGACCTTTGGTTTTTCGGCCTCCAAAAATATAAGAAATAAACCTCTTTTCTTTATACCTTACCTAATTTCAGGTATTCTGTTACAAGTAACAGAATAATAAATAACTGACCAATACAGAAAATTGGTACTGAGAAGTGGGGTCTTGCTGATAATGAATACTTGAAAATGTTGAAATGGCTTTGGAATGGGCAGAGGCTGGAAAAATTTGAAGAAACAGGCTAGAAAAATCCTGGATTCTGGTGAGGGCTTAGAAGGCAAGAAGACTAGGGAAAGTTTAGAAATTCTTTGAGATTAAGTGATGGTGACCAGAATGCTGATAGAAATATGGACTGTAAAGACCATTATGAAGAGGTCTCAAATGGAAATGGAGGAAGAACTTGTTGTAAGTTAGAGCAAAGGTCACCCTTGTTTAAACTGGCAAAGAACTTGGCTACATTGTGTCCATGCTCAAGGGTGGAACTCAAGAGTGATGAACTAGGGTATTTGGAAGAAGAAATATCTAAGCAAAGCATTCAGATTGCTACATGGCTATTTTGAACTGTGTACAGTGAAATGAGAGAAGAAGGGTCTGACTTAAAGATAGAATTTATAATTAAAAGAGAAGCAGAGTGTAAAAATTGGAAAATGTACTGCCTGCACATGTGAGGAGCAAAAAGGCATGTTTGGGAGAGAGTGGCAAGGTTGCTGCAGGGTGACTAACAGTTGCTAAAGAGATTAGCACTCATCCAGTGCTATGCATTAGGACAATGGGAAAAAGACCCCAAAGGCAGTTTGGAGATCTTCCAGGTTGTCTCTCCCATCACAGGCCCAGAGGACAGGCCCAGGCCTCCCTCCATGGGCTTTGCCTTGGGAAGCTGCTCCCTACATTCCAGCACAGTGCTCCTTGGCTGTAACTAAATTGGCCCCAGGTGGTGCTGGACCCACTGTGGAAAATACAAGTAAGCTTTGGTGGAGTCCATGTAGTGTAAAGTCTGCAAGCTCGAGGGGTGTAAGCTGTGGAAGCAATTTCAAAGGCTGTTTGGGAAAGCTTGGGGGCTCAGGAAGAGATTTGTCACAGGTGCAGAGTCACTGCAGAGAGCCTTCACTAGAGAAATGCTGAGTGGAAAAATGGGGTCAGAGCTGTAGCAGAGAGCCCCATTAGGGCCATGCCTAGTTGAGCTGTGGGAGCTTGCCTTGTGCTCTTGCTCAGCCCTTGCCATGTGATTGAATTGCCATGGGACTCCATGGAGAGTCCCCACCAAGAAGAATGCCCTCACTGGATGTGCCCACTGGACCCTGGACTTAGCTTCCAAAACTGTAAGTAATAAATTCTGTTTCTTTATAAATTACACAGTTTCAAGTATTCTGTTATAAGCACCCAAAAATAGACTAACACAGTCTCCATCTGCATTTAAATAATGGTAGAACTGTATTATGATGGCCAGGAAAAGGTAACACTCCTTGGGATTCTCTCATCAAGAAGATGAAGATATGACATAGCCCCTCAAATACAAGGCCCTAATGATACCTGCCATGCAGCTCAGGAAGATTTTTTTTTGTCATTAAAGGTGATGACACTGAGAAGGTTTTGCAACTGTGGGCAACCCTGCAGGTAGCTCCATGCTTATGCACAGGACCAACAAGTGTGTCCTGTCTTCTGTGGGTTACCAGTAAGATGAAAATGGCTCTTCTTGGAGATTAAAGAAGTATCTCCTACAACTACAAACCTAAATGAATGACTCCTTCCATTTCTCATAACCTTGGGTTGTCTCCTTTTACATTTCAGCAAAATTCCTCAAAAGAGTTGTCTCTACCTATCGTCTCCAATTCCTGTCCTTCTGTTCTCCCTTGAATCCCACTACTGCACCAAAGCATCTTCTCAAGACGAGCAGTGTCCTCCACATTACTGCATCCAATGGTCATTTCTCCAGCACAGTTTTACTTATCTATCTGCAGCATCACGTACAGCTGATTGTCCCTTGTCTTTGAACTGGTGTTGTCACTTGGCTTCTGGGACACTATTCATTCTTAGTTCACTTGTTTTTCCTTCTTGGGATCCTTTGCAGCTTTCCCCTCATCTTCTCACCTTCTTAATAGTGGAGAGCTCTGTGATCACTCC